GCTGTTAACATATATGCCTGGATATGTTGGACAAAGGGATGATTCACATCTCAGGCTCAGAGAGAGAGGGTGCAAGATTTCATGTTACTCAGAAGAGTGTGAAATTTAAAACTTATAGTTTATTTCTGGAATTTTTCCATTTAGTATTTTTGGATCATAGATGACATCAAGGAACTAGAAATGTAGAAAGTAAAACCATGGGTAAGGAGACTCCTGTATCACTATCTTCACTTTATGGCTACGGAAAACTGGTAAGCAATGTGCTCAAAGTAACATCTCTTAAGTGGCAGTAATTGGCAGCAGAATCTAGATTTGAGTCTCCATTTTGAACTTTTAGTCAGGATGCTGCATTGCTTTTCCATGGAATTAATGGTGCAATTCCAACATTATTTTAGCTGCCCACCTCAACAAGTTTATCTAGTCACTACTGCTAATGAGAAAATTGTTTAATACCTTTACTGCTCACCACATCAACCACTTTAGTTTTTTCTTTTTTTTTCTGGAGATCAGACTCAGGGTCCTGCACATTCTAGGTAAGTGCTCCACCACTGAGCTACATCCTCAGCTCCAATTACTTTATTCTTAATGGAAGAGATTCTTAAGAATATAGAATTCTATTGCTAACATAATAAAGTACAGCTTATCGAGAATGACTAATATTTGCCCTTGGTGTATACAGATAATTGAATACTTCAAGATAAATAATGAAGCCACAAAGCTATCTACTCACAAATTTTTGTTAAACTAAATAAAAAATTGACGACCTTACCTTTTTGAGCGCTAAGATCTAACCTATACTTTGCAGTCTTTAAAACTTTTCTGCTTCTATTTGGCTTAAGTTAAGGGCATTGGATTTTAAAAGCTGTTGCTGGGCAACTGACAAAAAAGAGAACTTAAAATTCCACTTGAGGCCAGGCACAGTGCCTTATACTTATAATCTCAGTTACTCAGGAGGCATAGATTAGGGAGAATCTCGGTTCAGGCTAGCCTGGGCAAAAAGTGAGATCCCTTCATCTCAACCAATAAGTAGGCATAGTAGCATATGCCTGTTATCCTAGTGATGTGGGCAAGGTAAGTAAGAGGATCGTGGTACAGGAGATCCCAGGCAAAAATGTGAGACCCTATTTGAGAAATAAACAAAAAGGGCTGTTGGCTTAAGTGGTAGAATGCCTCCTTAATAAGTGTGAGGCCCTGAGATTAACTCATGATACTTAAAAAAAAAAAAGAATTCCACCTGAATTAATTTCATGGGTAATCAGATTATTTTAGAATTTCAGAATGATGAATACATTCAGCATCAAATTATCAGTCCCTGGAATGACAAGTTCATAAGCCAAATGAGCCACTCATGGAAACATTTTTATGAAACACAGAAAACGAAGTACTATGCACATCTTTGTTTTCTCTCACTCACATTTACTGACTACCTGTTTGGCTTTGTTTTAGCATATCAACTTGGAGTTAAAATAGGTTTACTGATGCTCAAGTGGTAGCGTGCTTGCCTAGCAAGTTCAAACTCCTGAGTTTGAACCTGAGTTCAAACTCCAGTACCACAAAAAAAAAAAATAATTGGTTTACTGAGTCATTAGTATATTTGCATGAAGGCAAGGGAATAAAACCCATTTAGAATTATCTGATTACATATTCAAGTCAGAGTTATTCTATGTCGGTGTTACAACAGAATCCACAATTATAATATGTAGGTAATCAATTCTACTTATATAACTGAAAGCTTTAGTCTACTTATGTTCATAATTCTCTATATTATGTTATGTTAATTAGACCATAAAAGGAAAATATGAATTGATTAGATATACTTGAGTGATAAAAATGACTATTTCACATGTCTATCCAGCAAGATATTTAATTAGATTAATATTTGGGTTTCTAAGTTCTCAGGAAAATGATTGAATAATTATTTATGTGTTACTCAGAAGGCACGATATTTTCAAGATCAAACACTCTGGCAATTAAACAAAACTTGGTCATAACAACGAATTATGATCTCCTGCTATTAAATATTTTATTGGATATGTGTTCATTCAAATGCTTAAAAAGTGTCTTAACCCAAATTCAGGAATATGAACTTTAGTGGGCAAAATTGTCTTCCATAAAGGTATGATGAATTCTTAGCCCAACAACTATGAATGAGGTCCTTTGTAGATGTAACCAAATAGAGATTATATAATAGGGTGGGTCCTATAGTCAATGATTGGTGTCTTTATAAGCAGAGAGATTGAGACACAGAAACATGTACACATAAGGAAGGTCATGTGAAGATGGGATAGAAAATAGGAGTAATGAAGGGGAAGGATGGAGGGGGTGAATTCAACTATGATATATTGTAAGGAGTTTTGTAAATGTCACTATGTATCCCCAGTACAATAATAATAAAAAACCAAAAACCAAACAAACAAAAAGTAAGAGTAATGAAGGGGCTGGGGACTTGGCTCAAATGGTAGAGTGTTTACATAGCTAGTACAAGGCCTTGAGTTCAAACTCCAGGGAAGGAGGTAGGGAAAGTTGGGAAGGTTGGGAGGAAGGGAAGGCTGAGAGGGAGGGAAGAAGGGAGGAGAAAGTTGGGAGGCAGGGAAGACGGAAGGAATGAAGGAACGAAGGAAGGAAAAGAACTACAATCCAACAAATGTCAAGGATTGTTGGCAACTCTTGTTGGAAGAGGCAAGAAAGGATTCTTCTCTGCAAACCTTCCAAAGGAACAAAGTCCTGCTGATATCTTGGTTTTGGACTTCTGGTCTCCTGAACTGTGAGAAAAATACATTTCTATTGCTGTAAACTACTGGGTTTGTGGCTCTTCCATATTTTCCTGTTGAGACTAAATTTGCCATTGCTTAAAAAAAAAAAAAGACTCAAGTTGGTAATCTCACCAATCCTGACTTTTCAACTGCTTTATGGCATAATATTCCTTGATCATCATTTGTGTATAATTTACATAGAAATGACCTTGTTGATTACTCTTCAAACTAGATTCCCACATCCTTTTCATATTGCAGTTACTGCATTTAATACATGCTAAAATGCTATCCATTATATAATTACCATTATTTTTGGTGTCACTAAGAAAAAAGTTACAAAAGATGACCAACTCTAAGATATACAAGGATTGAGATATGAAAATTGCTATTTAGAATCAGTGAATATAGTAAAATGTTACCACTATTTCATCCTATTTTGGTCCCTCCAATGTACAAACTCAGTATGTATTGATTTTTCCTTTACAAAATCTAGCAATATCCAGTTTCATTATGGTTTTACTCTTCAGTCACACCAACTAGTACTAACTGGTTCCTGAGCCAAGTCTCTTGCATACTAATACCAAACTAATTTTCTTAAAATATTTGTGTATGTTTTATTTTTTGATCCTTTTAAGACAATCCTTACTACCAGTAGGATAAAATCCAAGCTTATCTGGCCTACCTGTGATGGATACTGCTTCCTGCACACCAATATCCATTCTGCTCTAATTCTGTTCCAATAATCATTATTCTCCCAGATTCCTTTGCAGCTAAGAAAGATCATGTGACAGACTGGCATTATTTTTTAAGAAGTTTTTGGGAACATCTGAATTTTCCTTATGCATGGTTCCTTTCTACAATGCAGAGCTAATGATGTATGTAGTAAGCATCTCCAAGCACAAAGCAATAAGCATACTGATGAAATTGACAAACTAAAGATGGTAAATTATAACTATATACAAGGGAGCCTAAGCCATTGCCTACACTGCAGATCTACTATACTAATTCTGAACTTCCTATTTCTGAACACATGTAATATAAATAGATTCCTATTTTGTTTGTTTTTAATGCAGAAGGGATTCTGTTATGCAGCTGAATGCAATTCTAATTGGAACTAGTGTTTAAGGCTCTTTATAACCTTTTTGTCCTGTCTCCTACTCATTACTCCCCAAAGTTTCAGGCATCCATATCATCCATTTCACTCTTCACTGAATTGACTGCTTATCAAACATGCCAATACTCTTCCTTACCTCTCTGTGCTTTTATCCATCTTCACTGAAATGTCATTTCCTTGCTTGGGCAAACTCCTACTTATTGTTTAAGACCCAGCTCAAATATATTGTGTTAATTTGTTCTTTACTTTGTTGTACCATAATGCTTTCTTAATTCACCTCGCCCAGCATTTTTAATAGTTCACGGTAATCATTCATTTACATATCTGCTTCTCCAAATTAATTCCTTTGTTGCAGTATCAAAACGTTTAACACATGGTAAAAGTTTTCTATAAGTAGTTTAGTAAAGAACAAAACACTAACTGGATTTGAAAAACTTGCTTTCTTTTGCACTGAAAGTAATTCACAGTTGGGTGTGGTGATGTACACTTGAGGCACTCAGGAGGCTAAGGCAGGAGGACCACAGATTCAATACCAGCTCTGGGTTGCTACAAAAAGAAAACCAAAAAAGAAATTCACAATTTGTGTCTCTGCCTTTGTACCATCACGTTTCAACTATGTTTTTTTTGTTTTTTGCTTCCCAGTGCTTAACTTGTAAAAACAAAACAAAACAAACTAATTACATTTAAAGAAACTGAATTATCAGTCAGGCATGGTGGGACACGCCTGTAATCCTAGTCACTTGGGAGAGTGAGATGGTGAGGACTGATGTTCTTTACAACCAACCAGCTGGGTATGGGGGCATATGTCTGTCATCCCAGCTACGGAGGAAAGCATAAAATAGGAAAACTGGATTGTATCCAGATCAGTCTGGGCAAAAAGCAATACTTTTTCTCCAAAATAACTAGACCAAAAAGGGCTGGAGGTGTGACTCACCTGGTAGACCACCTGCCTAGCAAGCATGAGACCCTGAGTTCAAACTCCAGTAGTGGAAAGAAAAAGAAAGAAATCCAGTTGTTACGTTTTACTCTTCTTTATATTTCCTATAGGACTGAGCACAAAACTTTTTATCTAATAAGAACTTAAAAATGTTTGAATTGACTATAGCATCATGAAAAACAGAAGGCACTGATACCTATGGAAGAAGACTGTGGACTGATCAGAAGGTCCTCTTGGACTTGATCACTTCCTGGCACTGTCTGCTGATCACTCAGGGAACTCTGAGATGCACTGACAGGCTGGGACACTTCCTCATGGACCTCCTCATCACTTAACCTTTCTACTTTGACACGGATGTCTTCTTCAGTGCCCAGAGGCAAGGCAGTTTTTGTGCTCTCACAAGCCACATAATCAGCCATTCTTCTACCTGCTTCAGATGGGCCAGGTAATTCTAAAGTTCGAGTATTCTCCGTCTGCTTAGCTTTCTCAGACTGAACTCTTCGATCAATTCCAAAAGGAAAAGTCCAGGGAAAAGCTAAAGAAGAATCAACTGGCTGATTTCTATTTTCTGTGTAGGAAGCTGAAGAATTCAATACCTGGGGTGAATTTGTTTGTGTGCTACACTTTACGGGACTCTCAGGAGACATAACAATGTAGCTTTTACGCTTTCTCCTGGATTCTCGGCAGACAGGAATGGTTCTTTCCACCACACTGCATTCTGAAGACACTGGAGAAATGCTTCCATCTCGAGAAGTAAAATTGCAGTTAGAATTACTTTCTTGTCCAGCATCTAGACCTTTTTCTGGCTGGTTATTGGGTGTATTCCATAAAATACTTGATTTCATGAACTCCGAACAGGTGCTAGCAACACTGAACATTTGCATGTAGCTGGCTGCAGCCAGAACATCAATAATATTTTCCGTGTTGATTGACAGAGTGGCTGTATAAGCATATTCTAAAAGGGGTAGAAAGCCAGTCACTGTAACATGATGTAGATCCAACACATTCTTCTCATCTTCTGCTTGGCCCACAAGTTTAGTACGAAAGAAATCACTGCAAGCTGCTAGCACCACCTTATGTGCCCGGAAGATTTTGTCCTGGACACGAATAGTGATATCACAAAAATGTCCATCATTTCGTAGCATATTTAGTTTCCCAAGCATTTCCTGGCTGTGGGAAGAGGAGCTATGAGTAAATGTTTTCACACCCATCTTCTCCTTCCTCTTCTACAGATGCTCTTCAAGGATACAAATGGATCAGAAATGTCCTAAAAATACATAAAATACAGCATTAAAGGATGGTTTAGGAGTTGAAATAGGCAATTTACATCATTTTCATGTGGCCACAGTGCCAAATGAAAAGGCTAAAAGATGGTAGTGAGAGAGAAACTCAGCAACAGAATGTATTAAAATACATTCTCCAAACTGTTTGACCAGTACAGTCTATGAACTACTGTTTTAAAGAATGGCAGAGTTTTAAACAACAGTTTGCAGTTAATGACTCTAGAGTGCCTTCTATGTGCCAGACACTATTTTAAATGTTTCACATTTGATAATCTATTGATTGTCAATATATGTCAGAAGACATATTATTGTATCTGTTTCTGAATGTGAATATGCAGTAAGTAATGCCAGTGAAAAATCAAACAATTCATTATGTAATCATTCCTTTGAATGTTCTATTCAGATAAATGTACAGAGGAAAGGAAAAGATTTCAGGATTAAAAAAAGTCACTGGATATTTTAATATTGGGAAGACAAGAATGGTTCCTATATGATATCACAATAAAAAAGATAATAGGCATGAATCCTGTGTCAAGACAGAGTGAGGCTGTGGAAATAAATCACGTTGACCACAATTAGTATAAACAGTTCAAAAATATAACCTTGCTATAGGAATACTTATTCTATTGTTGGGATTGAAGTGTTGCCCAATTCTAGAATAGAAAATAAAGTCAATTAAGATGGTTACGCCAAAGACAAGAAGACCCTGCTCCACATATTCTTTCTAAAGACAAGCATTCACAATGAGACAGTATGCAACTAGGATTGGTCAAAGAAGACCAATCCGTCATCTAATGGATTTTTAAATTTTTTTCTTACAGAAATGGGAGGGCTATATATAAAGTGTCTTGTTCATCTGCTTGGCTTCTGCTTTTAAAGCCGGGCCATTAAGAGTGCTTACTTTGATTGGGATCATGTGGTTGAGGGAAGAAACATGACTTCAGAGCAAGTGACAGTCATAATCCAGGGTATCTGCATGAACAAAGGTATAAAGGCAAGAAATTAAACAGCGTATTTGGAAAACATGCAATGGAGTGTTGAAATGGGACCACATCAAACTCAGTGTGGATGAAGGACCCAAACAACAGACAATGCACTACATTTCCAAGTGAGGTACAAAGCTACCTGGACAAGGAGCGGGTGGAAAACTTTTTCAACCTGGAGTTATAACCACTATCAATGAGCAAAGAATTAAAAGATTGGAACAGGAGTTTTGCTGACAGTAATCAGTGTGTTGTGAGTTCCAAACTCCACCCCGTTCTCCTACTCTTCTGAAACAAAAAGCATGTTTGTCCTTTGTCTTGGGTCTATCACATTTGAAAAAACTATAAAAGGGCATGCATTAAATACAAACACCAATCAACACTAGAAAGCATGCTTATTATCGTCCAACAGTATATAAAGGCAATACAGTGGAGTGCTTGAGAGCCAGAATGCCTCCATTTCATCCTGGTTCTGTCATTTACGGCTGTATGAACTTAAACTCTGCAACTTAAGTTCTTCGGCAGCAAATCAGGGATAATAGAACCTGTATCACAGAATTCTGAGGATTCAATAACCTTATATATCTTAAGTGTTTCAAAGTAAGTAGTGCTGGGGGCATGGTTCAAGTATTTGAGTGCCTGCCTCCCAAACACCAGCCCCAAGTTCAACCCCCTCTCCCACAGAGTAGTGGAACAACAATAAAACAAACTGTAACTAGCAACATAATCAGTGCTTTTATTACTACTATTACAAGGTTTTTTTTTCTCTCTTCTTCCTCAGCCCCTATCTCGCCTAATCCTGGAAGGGTCAAAAACCAGAAGCAAATGGGGAGGAGTAAGTAAGGGCTAACTATGAGAAGACAGAAGGAAAGAAAAAGGAAGCAGGCCTGTAGCAGGCCTGAGATAGAAAAGAGGGAACTGTTTTTTGGAGATATTGGGATTTGAACTCATGGCTTCATACTTGCTAGGCAGGCACTCTACCACTTTTTTATTATGGTTATTTTTGAGACACGGGCTCAACTAGGCTGGCCTGACTGGTGATCTTCCTACTTACGCTTACCCTGTAGCTGGGAAGGCAGGCACCACATTCAGCTTTTAAGTTTTTTTTTTTTTTTTTTTTGGCTAAGGCTAACCTGGAACTTTGATCCTCCTGATCTAAGCCTCCCAAGTAACTAGGATTACAGGAATGCGCCTCCACATCTGATGAGGAGGAAAACTGTTACTCTGAGTTAAGTTTATTAGTTTTTAAATTCTGTTTTTATTTCCTGAAAGTGGCCAGAAAAGATATTATGACTTGCCCTACAGAATAAATTTGAATGGACAATAGAAGATGAAAATGAGTTTTGAGTACCACTTCTCACTGTGTTGCCCAAATGGTTACACATATGGTCCAGGTATAATACAGTTAAAAGTATGGAACAAGAGGAAGGTGAAGATTACAGACTGGAAAATACCTTCCATGCCATGTATTTATTACATGCACTTCCCAACATGTGTCTATGTAAACTTTATGATCTATTCTATAATTAAAAATTTACACGGAGAAAGCCAGGCATGGTGGCTGAAGCCTTTAATCCTAGCTACATGGGAGGCTAAGATTGGGATGATCAAGTACTAGACTAGCCTGGGCAAAAAAAGTTGCAAGACCCCAACTCAACCAATGGCTGGGCACAGTTGTATGTACCTTTAATCTCCAGATAGGTGGGGAAGCACAAATAGGAGGGTCATGGTCCAGGTCAATTTGGGCATAAAGTGAGACCCTATCTCAAAAACAACCAACACAAAAAAGGACTGGTGGAGTGGCTCAAGTGGTAGAGGGCCTGTCTAGTTAGTAAGCACAAGGCTGTGAGTTCAACCCTCAGTACCGCCCCCCCCCCACCAAAAAAGAAACGCATGGACAGATATATTTTGGAAATACTGCAGTGCCATATGTTGACAGGGCAAAACTTGGAAAAGGCATGAATTTACAATATTTGAAAAAAAAAATCATACATAACATGGAAAGTTCAAAAGCCAGAAAGTATAACTTAAAATTTTGTATGAACTACAAAATACTGTTTTTTAAAAACACTAATCTCTCCATATGTGTTTAGATGAACAAGCATATGTACTGTCATATATATGTAATTTGGAGAATGTTTTAAAAAAGTTTTGGGGCAGTGATGGGGTTTGAACTCAGGGCCTAGAGCTTGCAAAGCAGGTGCTTTACCACTTGGGTCACACCTCTAGTCCACTTTGCTCTGGTTATTTTGGAGATAGAGGTCTCACAAACTAATGCTGGTACTGGCCTTGAACCAGGATCTTCCCCATCTCAGCCTTCCAAGTAGCTAGGATTACAGGCATGAGCCATTGGCACCCAGTTAAAATTCTTTACTTAAATCATAATTACTAATTTAGAATTTATACAGCTTTAACAAGTAATAAAAATTTATTTGTATAACAGGTTCCAGTGTAAGCTATTCAATAATTCAGAATTAGTTTCCTTCCTACCTTTTATTTCAAGCAACTGATAAAATACTATACATACATATTATCAAAGTAGCAGTTGCTAAACAACATATACTTTAAGGGTAAAAAAATTCTACGATGTTGTTTCATAGATGAGTTGAAGAATTTTTGCCCATGCATAGTTCAAGTGGTAGAGCACTTGTCTTGCAAGTGTGAGGCCCTGAGTTTGGAATTTTGATTCCTTTACCAGTCAGACATTAAATCTTACTTAGTCCAGTTATTTCACCTCTGTAATGTTTCAGTTTTCTTATGTTAAAAAAAAAAAAAGGAATTACGGGAATTCTTCCAACATTATCATGAAGATTAAATTAGCATAGTAATACTGCCACAAAGTAAGTATTCAATGAATATTAGCTACTTATTCACACTAGAAAAATTGAATAAAAGTTAAGTGTAGGATCTGGGGATGTAGCTAAGTGGTAGAGTGCAAGGCTAGTTAGCAAGCACAAGGAATTCTCTCCCATCACCACAAAAACAAAAAACAAAATTAAATGGAGATCAAGTTTCAGTGTCTATTCTATTTCTGATGAGACACATATGCACATTTTATCATAACTATTAGTTGATAAAACTCACCAGAAGATTTCAGATTAAAATGGAGTAGCTCTTAGCACAAAGTGAAGTGGCTATCTAAGATGATTAAAGAGAGTAATGGGAGGGAGTTCACATTGAAAATGACTTATACTGGAAATGACTTGGGAGAGTGGGAAAAGTTGATAAAAGAATTTCCCTGTTAATTGTGGAGATGGTTTTACCAGTACAATATAATATAATATGAATGTAATGTATGTATCAAACTGTATCAAATTGTTTATTTTAAATATTTTAATATATTATAATAAAACAGTTAACATAAAAAAGAATTTGCCTGTCTAAATATCCAGCCACTTGTTAAAAGTGAACTGAGATTATTACATCCACATCCTTTACTCTGATTAAAACAAATCAAGAATAGAAAAGGCAGTTAAGGGGAAAGATAATAGGTTTAAGATGCCTCTAATTGGGCACCTGCACACCCATGTTTATTGCAGCACTATTCAAAATAGCCAAGTTATGGAAACAGCCAAGATGCCCCACCACTGATGAATGGATTAAGAAAATGTGGTATCTATACACAATGGAATTCTATGCAGCCATGAAGAAGAATGAAGTGTTATCATTCGCTGGTAAATGGATGGAATTGGAGAACATCATTCTGAGTGAGGTTAGCCTGGCCCAAAAAACCAAAAATCGTATGTTCTCCCTCATATGTGGTCATTAGATCAAGGGCAAACACAACAAGGGGATTGGACTATGAGCACATGATAAAAGCGAGAGCACACAAGGGAGGGGTGAGGCTAGGTAAGACACCTAAAAAACTAGCTAGCATTTGTTGCCCTTAATGCAGAGAAACTAAAGCAGATACCTTAAAGCAACTAAGGCCAATAGGAAAAGGGGACCAGGAACTAGAGAAAAGGGTAGATCAAAGAGAATTAACATAGAAGGTAACACCCACACACAGGAAATCAATGTGAGTCAATGCCCTGTATAGCTATCCTTATCTCAACCAGCAAAAACCCTTGTTCCTTCCTATTATTGCTTATACTCTCTCTACAACAAAATTAGAAATAAGGACAAAATAGTTTCTGCTGGGTATTGAGGGGGGGAGAGGGAGGGGGTGGAGTGGGTGGTAAGGGAGGGGGTGGGGGCAGGGGGAGAAATGAACCAAGCCTTTTATGCACATATGAATAAAAGAAAAATGAAAAAAAAAAAGATGCCTCTAATTGGAATATCCAGGTGGAAATTCATCTGGTTGTCTGTATAGTGGACTGCCAGTTTTGTACCTAGGGGTTTTAGATATGCTACCTCTCCTGAGGCTGGCTGACAATACCCTGATTTTGCAGACTCAGATAATTACTTTATTCAAGGCCACTTAGTTATGCCATGCTAAAGACATAGGATCTTATACAGTAAGTATGGGTATAGCCACAGGAGAGTAGGACAGCCCTATCTACATTTAGAAAAGGTTATCCTGGTGGCATACAGAAGGTAGATTTTACAGTGGCTATTACAATAGTACAGGTATATGATTAACTAAAAGCAAATTAAACTGGTGGCAATAAGGATAGAGAAAATACAACAGAAATATTTAGGTGGGAAAATCACTTGGTCACAATTCTGTGTTGAGGGTGGGATGGGATAGTAATTAAGAGTCTGACCCTTGGTCTCTTAAATGGTGTTTTACCCAACAACAAAGGGAACAAAACAGAAAGAGCTGATTTTGACAGGGATTAATGATGGAGGAGGGAAAGGCACGTTTAAGTTTTGGACATACCTAGTTGGAAATACCTTTAAGAGGAGTACTAGCTTGTAAATTTATATATGAAACTGTCCATTCTGGTTTGGGCTTTAGGGAAGAAGTTAAAGTAGGACCTAAACACTGGAGTTTACAAGAGTCACTGAAAAATTTTATTCTGTTGGATTTGTTAGAGCAGAAGACAT